CACACACACACACACACACACACACACACACACACACACACACACACACACACACACACACACACACACACACACACACACACACACACACACATATATATATATATATATTATAATATATATATATATATATATGTACATATATACATTATGAGTGGTTTCTCTCTCGAACAATTCGTTTTTTTCCATATATACCTGAGTGAAAACCATTGATGAAGCCAAACAATATGGTCCTGGTCGAAGAGGTGTCGATCCGGACCCGGACCATATTGGATAATGCTATGATATGTGTTCATAGAAGAAAATGCTTGCACCAAAAGTCTCAGATATATAACTGTTAATCATTAACAATTCAGAATAAGGGCAACGCAGTTTACACTTGATAGCAGTTGTTGAACCGTATAAGACAGTGTTGAGAGTTTGCAAAAACAAGAAAAAACAAGGGGTATGTGTATTTGTGCCCACACCCTTGTCCTTGACTAGGACGACATCAGAAACTCATTTGATATATAAAGTTTATCTTGTAATCGTAGAGCTGATCGGCCTAGGCACGTACGGGTTATAAAGAACTATGTCTCCCATGTTTTGTTTACTACTATTAGAATCGATACGTTAGCTTATGAACTACATGCATTTAGACTTCTCGAGCACTTCTAATCATCATCTATATATCTCTAACTATTGCATACTTTCATACTAATTGGGGTGATCCATATTGCTGTACCCCGTGCCAAGACGCATTTTTCTGCACTTTTTCGTGGATTGACGTGTAGCTCTAAAACCGTCTCCTCGCTCGAGCTCAGGACCTGTGAAATCACCGCCGCTTTGACTTTGCTCGCTCTAGCAATGTATCCTCCACATAGCACACTTCAACATCCACACCCAGGTTTTGCAGAAACTGGATCCTGAGAGATAGAAACATCGCGTTACCAACAAGATATGTATCGATGCGCAAAACACGTTTGTGAACTTAAAACATAAAAGGTGGTGCCATGTGCACACTATACGCGCATCTCAATCATGTGCGGCCTTCAGCACGTCAGCTGCTCTCTGAAACATCATTCCAGCAATTTCTCCAAAACAAGAAATTTAGGTGAATATTATTACCAGGAGCATTTTCAGTGGTACTAAATACAACCCCTATTTTGGACGATGTTGGCAAACGGGTCGACTGGGAGGTACATACCAGGACATCTGACGTTCACTTAGCTTATCCCCCGGGCCCTTCACCTCCGAATATTTCACCATAGGCGGGTCTAAATACAAAACACATAGAAAGTGTCAGTTTAGTGATCACACAGACGACAGGAGCATATGCGACAATCCACGACAGGCACAACAGTGCAGCCTTTAACACATCAGCAAGCTTTAACGCTACAGTAGCGGCGGGTAAATGCACTCTATAGACTGTAGACCACATACCATTTTCAGACCATAACAGTAAATCCGGTAGTCCACCCGCAAACTGTAGAACAAAAGGAGGATATGAACGTAAGCGTTAAAGTATTGCTATGAGTGATAAGGTAAAAACAATCAGCGCATCATTCAGGGCGTGGGGGAAAGGATAAGAAAGCTAATCCGTATTACGCCTAGTGGGACTGCACACAGACTGCAGGCCTCGAACACAGAAATCCTGGTTAGCCTGTGTGAAACGGAAAGGCCATTCCGCAGTTGTGAAAACTCAAAGCCACAATCAATTGGTAGATGCAGAGGTGCTCATACAGCTTTCCACAAAATTGACAATCCAACTCTCGGGCCACACAAGACAAAGCGCACGGTACCTGCTCAAACCCATTCGCCAGCCTCTTGCAGCACATGGCAACCGCATGCACACCCATGCCTTCAGCGATGCAGATGACTTCTTTCAAGGTGTTTCTAGTCCAGTTGACTCCTATTTGACAAGTATTATAATTTCGCTGGCGTCATATTCAAATACAATCCTAAATACATAAATATATCAAGATCGGCGCATTCAATGTGGCCATGATAGCAGAATCGACGACAAAAAAGGACTCAGAGCCGAAAGTGAGCCATTCCAACCAGACGATCAAATGCTAAATATGCGAGACTACAAGCTTAATCAGTGCATCAACACAGCCCCTACGTATCGCAATAGCGTCACACGAGTTGCCCCAATACCTTTGCATTGTTGCCCATTGTGCCGTTTCCACGCTCGCGTCAGCAGTGATCTCAGACTGACTTGTCCGCACTTCAGCTTACACGCGCTGTTACCTTCACAAACAGCGGTGAGACCGTCCAGATAACCAGTGACATGTCTGCCCAAACCCGAACACGACAGTATACCGTCATACAAGCACGCAGGCATATCTTGCAGCGTGGTGTAGAAATGGCCTCGCGAGTCTGTGAGCAGCAGGAGTGTGACGCATCAGCTTAGCGACAATGAGCAACATAAGTGTGGCGTATAAGCTGGAGAAGAAAGTGCCTGAGAAAGCAATCGGAGGTACGTACGCATCGCTGCACAAATTATTCACACAAGACAGGAGCAGGCGTGTCTGAGTATAAAAGTCGTCGCACAGTCAAATGCGGCGATAATCTGATTCAAGCTTAAAATGATCCACAAGCAATCGCTCACCGTGTTCATCGCTGATGGCATGGTAGTCCAGAATGACATCCCAGGTCATAAGCCCAAAGATTGTGAACATCACTCCGTTCTCGGCATGCATTCCCTGCGGTGCGAGTGAGACGGGAGAGTTGAAATCGCACATGAATGCACAAGTCACACAGAACAGAATATAAAACAAAAATCACAGGAGCATATTGTGGCAGCCGTGCAGCACGCTACTGCGACCATGGACTCACAAAACCCAAGTACAGGTGACACAAAGGGGGACCCCGCACACTGACTTGGGTTGTTGCCTTGCTAGCTGCATTTATATTCACCTAGTCAAAAGAATATCTACCCTCACTCTAATCAAACTGCGAACAACCAACGGGACTGTCTGTTACGTCTCTTCGCATACCTTCCATTTTCGCGTAGGCGTATCTAAAATTTGTATCATCCGTTGTCTGGAGTACTCCTCTACTCCACCGGTGCCTCCGGTTAAGGGCAGCGGCCACTTCAGAAACGGTGAACCATTGAATCGCACCCTACCCTGCGCAGAGGTGTCCGATTGTCCGTACAGACGTGCGTGAGCACAAAGAAAAAAGCCGCAAAAGCAAAGCACTACAAGGAACAGAAACCTCTGTATATCGACAGTCCTGATGTCGATTGTATCGTTGAGTAATCGTTCTCCAAAAGGCATCTGACACGAACCTAGACACCAACAATATGAAGGATCAGGTAGACCGGCCCCAGTAAAACACAGTTGAAACTATGCATGTAGAGATATCACGCGCAGGACGAGCCACGTACTCGAATACCCAAAACCATGACACACGCAACATACCCCTACCACGACTCTCTCGCCCACCAGTGTCCTCTCCACGTACTCGAATACCCAAAACCATGACACACGCAACATACCCCTACCACGACTCTCTCGCCCACCAGTGTCCTCTCCACAAACTTGTGTGTAAGCGTCTCGAAAACTGGCGCTTTCCACCTGTAAGGTGCTTTGCTCAGTTTTGCCACAGATTTATGTATTGCGATCCGTTGTCCACCGACAACATACTGATCTTTCAGAGATCGTTCGTACACATCTATCGCCTCCCGCACAGCACCGAGACGCTCGAGAATACGTCCGTAACGACACCAGATCTGCCGTAGCAAAGAACACGCCGGGAAGGTAATGGTCAGCAAATCTTATTATGTTGAAGCATCTTGAGAACCACCTCACAAGCATATAGATGCGCATACGTAACAGGGACACTTACTAAGTTGTTCATGTGATGGACGACAATTGCTGCATTGGCATTGTAGCTGATAAGAGAGATGTCATGAAGCAGATACGCCGGCCATGAAGTACATGTCTACACAGACACCCACCCACACTCACTTGTAGCACAGAAACGCACATATTGGCACAGAAACGCACATATTGGCACAGAAACGCACATATTGGCACAGAAACGCACATATTGGCACAGAAACGCACATATTGGCACAGAAACGCACATACGTGAACACGGACGATACAATAAGGCAGATATGATACACGAGCAATTGCGTTCGAATATCAGAGCACGCACATGTGTACATATACGCAAACAGGACAAACCAGAAGTTCCTCACACACAGAGTGCGTAAGCATATGCATACATACATCTCCTAGCAGAACGGTGCCCCAGGGATACGGCTTAGTGTACTCCTGGTCCGACAGTGGGTTTCTCCCACCCGCTCTCAGCAGTATATCCAGGTAGTGCTTCGCCTCGGTGTACTTCTTTTCCTTCTGCAACAGCCCAGCACCGCGGTATACCGTCCGGCACATAAGACGCGACCAGTCCACAGTGTGTTGTGTGCGCATGTCGGGTCTGTTTGGTGCGGTGGCGACATCGTACGGCTGTGCAAGGGGACGCACAGTTACACCACACGTCCCATGGTTACCCAGTACTTCCCCACCGTCGCAGATATCCGTAGGACCACTTCCCAGAGTATCTGTGGGAGCGCTCGCCGACTCCTTCGCTCGTACTGGTCCAGCGTCGCCATGTACACCACCGTTGCACTCGTGTGTAGTCTTTACTACGCCATCGTTGCGGGTCCCTTTGATCGCAGAGCGAGGTGGCTTGTCGTCGGTGGTCAGGTCTACGGCAGTGTAGGGCAACAGAGTGTCCGCAGCCTTGTGCATCACACTGTACAGTGGTTCGCCTTGACCAATGGCGGTGTACAGCTCTAACTCGTCAGACAGATCTAGAGCCTCATTGTACTTTTGGAAATGCTCAGCACTCGTCCACATGCTCGAGGGCACACACACATATGTTTCTGCCACATCTGCGCTTTGTTCGACTGTACACTGGTTCTTCACTCCATGGTCGGTGGTATCTACCATCTCGCCAACGACGTCTGCGCGATTCTCCGCACACGTAACCAGCATGCTGTGTTCTTCCTCATGCCCTGGCGCAACACAAGCGCTGTCCGAGGACAAATCAGAGCTAGTCTTGAACGAATGATACTTTCCATGCCAACACGTAGACCTCCATTGCAATCCTCTCGGGCTTTCGTCACCAACATCACACGCATCCATTCTCATGTCCACATTACGACACTTTCGTGTGTGATCATTTACAGTACTATGCTGTTCCGTTCCTGTCGAGTCTGTCAAAAGTTCCACAGATTCATTTTGACTACTCGCCGCCTCCACGGAAATATCTACTGTTGTTTTCTTCGTGTGTGTTGATGCAGTGACATCTATACTCGTATGCGAAGCGGGAACCAGAGTTTGTGGCTCCGTATGCTTCGGGGTGCGGGTGAGAGGTAGGAACTTGATACTATCCCAAACAAGCCCACAGTTGAGGAGAAGTGATGCGTCATCGGGAATATAGGAGGACCCTGCAAGCACCAGCCGATGGGCCGCAAGTACAGACTAGCAGAGGATATACAATCAAGGCATTAAAGGTTATTCACATGTATTCCCGTGCAGCAGTTGAAGGGTGTGATGCTTTAGAGTATATGGGTATACGCCCTAAAGTAGTTCCACTTGATATCAACAATACTGTAAATCAACAATAACTGAAATCTGATATTTATGAGAATTGAGGCAGCTGTAAATGTTAAGTCGGGCAAGATCCAGTCAATACTTGGGTCAGGATAAGGTGATTATTAATGCGCATAGATGCGTTCGTACCACCATCCGCCATATGTGGATCATAAATAGGCCACACACATACCTGGGCCGCACTTGTCGTACGCACGAAAACACCCATATCGAGCGTGAGCTGGAATAGCCAATTGGGGAGTTGGGATTTCTGTTGTAGATACATGGTAAGACGATGGAGCCGATGAGAATATGGGGCAAATATCAATTATGCGGGTCATGGTCAAAAATATGCCTCATCACGACGCGTAGAAGAGAGAGGACCTGTACTCCAGTCACAATTCCACAGCTACGAGAGCAGATTGATCATGTATAGATGGCATGACAGGCTATAGGGGCATAGAAATCCCAGGGATTGCGAAGAAGGCCAAAAACCAGCATAGCATGTAAGACAATGTTAGGGCACTTTGAATTAGACAACTCACTAGCAAACACCACGGTAGCATGCCACCAACCTAAGCATGACAGGCTGCTCGAATTTTCTAACCCATGTCATTTACCTTCTTGTGCAGAAACGGCCATATGTCTGCTGCTGCTGCACTTTCACAAACCGACCTTGCGTAGTCAGCTTTACGGGGGTTGGTACCCGAGCCATAATTGGAAGTGACACCGGCACCACCCTTCCAGCTGGCGTAGGTGGGTTTGTTGGGATCATCAACACGAGTCGTCTTAACCTTGGCCAGCTTGCAGATCTGATTCAGTTGCTTGACGCTCAGATTTGAGACCACTGAGGAGAGCTCGGCTAGTGCTAGATTGTAATCTGCAGCGGAATATATCGACAGCTAGGCATTTGATACTGTGCTATATTATGTAATGTCACTCCGTTCGAACGTGGAGAATGAGAATAGACTAGTATTCATATTTAACTGCTTTGATATAGATAGAAACACGACTGGTCATCGACCGGAAAAGCGTACAGCATATCGGCATCTCCGGGATGTTGATAAGAATACAACACCACAAAACGGCAAAAAAAAAAAGGCACTACTTCACTGGCAACTTACCGGGTGATGGAAGTGCTGGGATCGCGGGAGAGCCAAGATAGCATACGAGTCCTGCCTCACTGAGGCTATCGACAGTCACCTTAGAGAGCCCCTTTTTCTGCAAGGACAACCATCTGTAAGAACAAGTGGATCCACGTAGGTGTCATCAAGTCACCTTGCGCAATGCACGTAGGCGAAGTTGTAGCAGCTACACACTGCTAGGTTAACACAGACGGACATTGCACAGCAAACCACAAGGCCTTGCGCCACCGCAAGTACCTTTTGTATCACAAGCGGAGCTAGTGAGGTATACAAGCAACTAACTCAGCTAATACAATAAAATACGTGACAACCAACGACACCTGCAAGGCCCATGAGTGATAAGGAGCACAAGCAACTAGCTCAGCAAATACAATAAAATAGGTGACAACCAACGACACCTGCAAGGCCCGTGAGTGATAAGGAGCACAAGCAACTAATTCAGCAAATACAATAAAATAGGTGACAACCAACGACACCTGCAAGGCCCGTAAGCATGGCATAACCGAATAATTGCATACCTGCATGACGAATCGGCGCGGTATATCGTTACAAATGCAACCAGGGCCTCGTGGGACAGGCCTAGAACTCGGTGAATATCTGAGATTTGCGATGCAGGCAAAATGCCTCTGAAGTGTGGCTTCAAAGCTTCAGAAAGTAATCGCCTCATATTTATAGCCAAGATGTCCGAGAACTTTTCTTTTGGCTCATTTACAGGCTCCTCAGCCTCGACTGAATCAGATGTTTGCGTCGGTTCCGGTTCATTCTCTGGTTACAATTAAAACGTATCCATGCTTCAGCTAGCAATCAATGACAGCACAAGACACCAAACAATATAGGTACCGTAAACCACCCTGCTCCGCGCAGAATTCGACCTAACTGACTCGAGCTAGGACCCGCACAAGCAAAGATCGGCACTCTATTGTATAAATTGCAACAAGGAGCGCCAGAACACCAATTGCCGCACAGACACACAGTCGCGCTTGTACGTGATGGGAACTACGACCCAATATAGCTTAAGCTTTATCTGGTGCAGGTATACATACCATTGGGTTCAGCGTTGGCCGCACCGGCTCGTCGCACGGCACGCACTGCGTCGGTATCATATATACCAACTCCCGGAGGTCGACGATCCTGCACAAATGCAAGGTTCAATCAATATATTACCAATCGATACTCTACGAGATACCCCCCTCTGAAGTGCAAAACTTCATACTGGATTTCTGGATTTTGACTCTACACTGGCCAGTGTCTACACGCTGGAGTACTTGGCAATAAAATAATCACGGGAAGTTTATAAAAATGCTTCAACCGCAAACAATTAACATACAAACCAAAGATGGCCTTTGCATTGGCAATGGCTGAACAAGGGGTCCGTATTAGAACGGGTGAGATATTGAGAGAGAGCAAAAGGAGACATCGAACACCGAAGACATACGCCAAAGTGGTTCTCGTATCGATGTCCATAGCTTCTCTGGCAGTACGGAATCCAAGGGCCACTGGCCGTTCGCGCATCTTCTCCAAACTCACCACTACCATGTCCATCACTCTGCTGAACCTTCTCCGAGAAGAAAGACGCCAGTCCGCCCTTTTTCGGAGCTGAGCTGTGGATGGATGTCATGTATTGCGCGCGTCGCCGCTGGTCCACCATACAGCCCCAATTGGGTGCTGTATGTGCAGACTTTGGCAGGCGCGCGTCTGTAGTCTTTTCCAACTGCGTGCCGGCGGGTGGCATATGTTTGGTGTTCGTACGTGTTGGGGACTGGGATCGAGTTGCGGTTACTTCCAAGTGGTCGCCCACTTGCTCCGTCTGACCTTTGCATGCTTGATGCCCCGCATCATATTTGTCCGTATGTGATACATTCAAACCCTGTTGAACATAGGAAAAAAAAGGTTGTCTGAGCGTTGGCTTCGAATCCTGCTTTTTTGTCAAGTAGCAAATCAAATGTGGCAGATGTGCACCTGTCGGCACAGAAACAAAGTGGGAAGTACAGTCATTTGGCCACACCTTTACTATACCTGTGGGTCCTTCTTCGTGCTACGGCAAGTTTGTTCTTCAACGTCCACGCAAAGATCTTCCCCTTTTACTGTGCTGTGTTTACCTGGCGCGTGTTTCGCTCGCTTGTTCGTGACCGATGGCTCAGTGGTTGGGACAGGTGTGTCCGATCTAGAAGTCGAGGGCGTGGGTACCTGTGTGAAGAAAGTGGTGAGCTTGGGTTGCTGGATAGCGCTCCTTCGCCTCTTGACAGGATCTCGCACATCTTTGCTCGCCCGTACACTTTGCCCTTTCACAACAGCTTCTGACTTTGTGTTGTCGACAGACATACTTCTCTCATTTACTTTCTTGCTGTCCTTCGCCGCCGATGGTTTCCTCGGCATAACGCGGGGCTGTTGAGATCCATTTCCACTGCTTTGTGAATCGGCTTGTCCGGATGACCGCACTTGCGAACGTATACGAGGACTCTCACGCTTGTGAACCCCTTGCGAGCCCGCAGTACCCTTACATTTCGCCACTGGAGACAACCCTAAACTGTCGACGCAAATATAGTCTTTCTCAAGCAAAGGCACCACAATCGGGACAGGCTCTGTCCAAAAACAACGATCCGATACAGGAGACGAATCAGGATGTGCTGGTGGTGTTTTAAAGCCGGTTGGTTCTAATGCAGCAGCATCTTTGTTAGCAACTGCAATAAAAGCACACCAAACATTCTTCGTGTCTATCAGGCATACAAAAATTAACAAAAATGCATTCTTGTTTTTGTATGGTCATAGTTACACATATATACTTATATCTATTAGGCCACAAATTTCAACAAGTATTCATAGTTTCACTCATACGAGCATATTTTACAAATACTTGTGCATGCACAATCATATTTATACATATACATACACACACACACACACACACACACACACACACACACACACACATACACACACACACATATATAATAATAATAATATATATAATATATATACATAGTAGTACTAATATAACATGTCATATTGTATA